AATCAGGGCTTTGGTGGGGGAGGATGAGGCCTTTGTTATTTTAGTTTTAAATACTACATACACACAACAAACAATTCAGATTATAAGGATGACCAGAGTCATATGTGTTCCTACTTCTAGGTATTGTGTGTTTGTATGCATATGCATGCATGCAAGATCACCTGTTCTGGGGCTTGAAATCAGGGCTTGGGCACTATCCCTGAGCTTTTGTGTCAAGGATACTGCTGTACCACTCGAGTTATAGCTCCCTTTCTAGATTTTTGGTAGTTAATTGGAGATAAGAGTCTTATACACTTTCTTGACTAGGCTGGCTTTGAACCATGATCTTCAGATCTCAGCTTTCTGAGTAGCTCGAATTACTGGCATGAGTCATTGGCACATGGTGGTACATAACTACTTTTAACATTTTGGTGTTTCTTTTGCAACAACTATATGAATGAGAGTGAAGGGCAGTAAAAATGTGTTGAGTCATGGATTGTGAGGTAAAAGGAGCTATCTCAGTCCAAAAATAAAAGATGGCATCCACTAAAAACTGAAGGCAGTGATGATACAGTGGGGCACTTGAAAATGAGCTTACAAAAGTTATAACTATTGGTAATAACATGGTATATAACAGTGTATCGATGACATAATGTGGTCAAAGTTATTGGGCAGGAAGTCATGAATCAGAAGAGAAGTTAACCAAAAAACATTTAGATAGTTTTAACATGATCAGAATTTTAAGTGTACTGTTGAATAAAATGTTTTGAGAACATTTGAATATTTGAATTTCTCAAATTCAGTTCAAATTTATCGTTAAGAGGTTAAGTGTCTTAGTAGACAACTAGGCCATGAGGTTTTTCAGGAGGTGCCTAGGCTATGGAGTCTCCTCCTTCACTTATGCATTTATAAAAGATCTTGAGTGGGCAAGTTTCCCTCTTTCATCTTTTCTGCCTGGTCATTCTCTTCAGATGACACAGCAATAAAACACCAAATCAAAAATTATCCCTTATCAACTTTGTTCATACTTTGGTCTTAGATTTTATAACCTTCAGAGGAGTGAGAAATAAATTTTGGTTCTTTTTAAGTTTTTTTTTTTTCAGTCTCAGGTATTTTGTTACCGCAGCACACGCTTACTGAGACAAGAAGAAATGGTGTGGGGTGTGTGTGTGTGTGTGTGTGTGTATGTGTGTGTGTGTTTTATACCATACTTCAATAAAGAGGAATAAAACATTTACAACTTGATGGGGGGAGTTGAGGGAAAGGGAAAGTGGGAGAAAAATGAGGGAGGGGGTAACACTTCTCACCAACAACATACTCATTTCCTTACTTATGTAACTGTAACCCCTCTATACATCACCTTCATAATAAAATTAAATAAAAAACCAAAAAATTTAATAGCAATGGATTTAAAGGTGGGGCTATCAGGAAGAAAGGAGCAAAGGTTTAGCAGAGGGGATTTGAGGAAGCTGCTACGTAGTGAAAAGGAAGGAATACGGACACTAAGGAAGAGATTATAGAAAGTGGTAGGGAATGATTCGGAATTTTTGGCTTTTCCCATTTAATTTTTTGCTTATATTAGATTATTAAACACAGGTGGATAGGAAAATTAATTTTAATCTTTTAGTTCTAATTTTTCCTCCTCCACCTCATACAGTATTCCTTATTCTTGTGAATAAGAGGTTTTATAGAGAAGCTAAAGAAAAATTATTTCAAAATGTATTGCTATTTAAAAAAACTAATTTCTTTAGCATGATTATATTTGGCCTTTCTCAAAAGGAAATGGAAAGAGGTACATTCATTTTACAAGAGATAAGGTGGGGCAGGAATATAAGGGCTTAGAGGAGGAAGAGAGGTACAGCAGTTCTGAGAAAGGATAGAAGGAATTAGGGTTTGTAAAACAGGACAGAACCACACATAATCAATACCAAGGAAGCTAGTTGTCTAAGGCCTTGGGGTGCTGATTTAACAAAGATTTCCATTACAAGACATGTTTTGGAAGCTCTAGATTCACAGAGACTAAGTAAGCATTAACCATAGCAATGTATGTGAGTGAAGACCAGTGATGGAGTTTTCTAATGTATGCAAGATACCCATGTCCTTTATATAACTGTGGTAGATGAAAGAGGAAAGCCTCAACATTAGTTTTCAATTTTCTCTCAGATTATCAGGATGAGAATATGAGTCCAAATAACTGTACATATATATCTGGGTTTTGCATGTTCATGTTTAGAAAATAAAACTCATAAATGCTGTATTTTTATGATATTTCATAATATGTTTTATGAAGCTCACATTCATCAGCTTGTTATATAACTTTAATTTCACTTGTGGGGAGAAGCTTTTCATTTTTTGTATTTCAATTTGCTTTGAACTTCATGATACTTATTTCTGACTGTCTCATTTTGTGAGAATCATCTTAATGGTGTGTTTATCTGCCTATCCACAGTAAAAAACAAAAAACAAAAAAAAATTCTATGTGCCAGAAAAGTGCTTGAGATATAATTGTTTATGGGAGAAAGTATATCAAATATATAGGACAGTGTATTAAAAATCTTTGAAGACCCATAAACATATCAGAAGATGTTACAATACGAAGTTAATCCTGTGGGGGGAAAAAGTTACATTTAAAACCAAATGTTGGATTCCAGTTGAGTGGCTTATTCTTGTGGTATTTTCATGTAAGCAGTGTTTGCCATTACTCATAAACCTTGAGGAGTAACTAAAAGCTCATAGTGGCTTCTTTGTGTTTCTTTAAAAGGTAAGCACATAAATGTTAAAAGACAGAATTATGGTGAACTATATCTTTTATTTTTATATTTGTGGGATAAAATCCTCCCCTGACATTTACTTTATGTTTATTTTTTAAGTTTCCCCATAGTTTTTTAAATTATCATCAATTAGTTGTACAGGCATTTTCCTTGCAGGCAATGTGATCAGACTCACCCTTTCTTTCCCTTTAATTGCCTTTAGTCAAAAGGACAGAGGTAATACTTTCATGAAATAACAAATGGATTTGTGGATTTTAAGTGGTTTTAAATGAAACACCATAAAGAGTGATCTAGTCTCATAAAAGATCCCAATTTTTCCCCCGAGCTTGTATTTTTATTGAATATTTTCTTTATGCTAAGCATCAAATGAGGTATTTTGGCATATGGTGTAGCAAAGCTGAATAAAAAGGTTAACCCTATATTTATCTAGTCTTTTCTCTACTATACGACTGAAAATATAAGTCCATATGGAAGTGATCATTATTTTGCATCTGTTGGCATGACACATGATAAGGCTTTCTAGAGCATATTTGACTTTAATTCATTAGCTAACATCATTCAGTTGTTGGAGTCAGAGGAGACACAGTCCTTGTCTTCAAGAATTTTAGTATAACCTGAAATGATTTATCTCTCAAAACAACTTCCCTGCAAGTGATCATTTTCTTCAGATCACTTTCTTATTTATACTAGACTGGATATACTCTACCCTATACGTCACTCCATCCCCTATTTTTTTGTCAGTAATGGGGCTTGAACTCAAGGCCTGGGCACTGTCCCTCAGCTCTTCAGCTCAAAGCAAACACTCTATCACTTGAGCTACAGCACCATTTCGTTTTTTGTTGGTTTATTGGAGATAAGAGTCTCATGGACTTTACTGCCCCACCTGGAATTGAACTTCGACCCTGAGATCTCAGCCTTCTGAGTAGCTAGGAATACAGGTGTGAGTCACCAGTGCCTGGCTATATTATCTATTTACTTAGACAGCTTTATATTAGGTTTTTTTAAAAAGACATGCACTATTGTAACTGTTTGCTTATTTCTGGTTTTCTCCATTAAATCCCCTATTTGACCTTGCACAGTGGCTGGTGATAGATGTGGTTGAATCAAAAAAAAAAAAAGAATCTCAGTATAACTCAAGTGTAGGTAAAGGCTTTGTAAATAAATAATAAGGTTCTTTTAGATGGGGAATCAGCGTTGAAAAAAGTATTTAATCAATAGATTTTTTTCAGCACTGTGACTCAAAAATTAACTCACTGAGTCTACTCATGTCCTGTCTTGTGCTTGTGCTTTGGTAAAGGCCTTCAAGAATGATGAGCTGGGCCTCATTCTGTCCCAGCTAATTGTGAATTGTGATCATACTTTTATCCCTCGGCTCAGAACACTATCCCTTAAAAGAAGTTGAAATTAAAGTGGAATAAATCAATATGGTTGAATGAAACACTTTGAAATTACCCTCTAAAAGCCTGTAAAAGTATCATGTTAGTGTAGGTATTCTAACTTCTGGATACTTGGGCATACTTAAACACATTATGTATAAGTTCAGAAGCCTTTAATGGAACAGCATGATGAACATTTCTCCAGAATGTCCTGAAATGATAGGAAGTACAAGAATCATGCCTCTCATGCTTCATGCTGAGAGAAGTGATGCTTTTTTGGTCCCAAATGAAAGGATCAGCTTCGTGGATAACTTGGCATGGTAATGTTACCTTCTGTTTCTACTATCAGCCTATACAAAACCTGTCCTTTGTATAGGGCTCTTCCTCTTTCCTTTCCACTAGACTTAGTTAGGATGGTAGGTGAGGCAGCAGTAAAACTTGTTGGCTTTTAACCATATCATGTGACTTTGTGCCTATCAGTAAAGTCTCATATGTTTAAGAAAAATTTATCAGTTTATAATTTACTCATTGTAGCTAGAATATTTTTTTTGGTCGGTTGTGGGGCTTGAACTCTGGGCTTGGGTGCTGTCCCTGTGCTCTTCAGCTCAAGGCGAGAGCTCTACCACTTGAGCCACAGTGCCACGTCCTAGAAGATTTTTTATATAACATTGATATATCTCTTCTTGGTCAGAATTCTCAATACAAGGGCAAATTTCCTAACATCTTCTAATCAATAATATTATTACATAATTTAAAACATTATGTTCTCCAATAACTCCTAATTCCAAGCCATTACACAATTATATTGAAATAATGACACTGATCAATAACTTTTGAAAATTTTTATTTTTAAAGATTGAAGAATACGTTCATTACAGAATTTCTGATTAAACAATTAGCAGTCTCAAAGACTGTTACAATATTTTTAAGAGTATAGGTTGGATATAAGTTGTTTAAAAGAGGCATACATTTCTAGAAACAAATTGAAGAGTACTTAAAAGATCCCATTGCATGTGTGTTGCATTCCTCAGTTTATGTATATCATCTAAACTAGTTGACTTTTGGTAAAAAAAATTACTTAGTGATTGCAATTTATCTCAAAACTGGTAGTAATAAAAATGTTGCAATGTTTGTACTCTAACGTGTTACTGAATACATTAAAATTTGTGTATTATAATGTGTTATTGAAAGTTAAATTGTGTGCATTCTAATGTGTTTTACTGAAAATAGTAACTGTGTGTGAAATAGAGAAGAGGAAGATGAAGAGAGAAGGAGGAGGGGAGGGAAAGACACAGGGAGGAAGAAGAAGAAGGAAAGAGAGAAGGAGAGGGAGGAAGAAAGAGTAAGAATACATGTGTGATTCCTGCATATTTTACCATCTAAATGATTACACTTTCTTACTGTTTCTTCTCAGGCTCTTACCTTCCTTTAACTGACTCAACCACTCAGAAAATTTTCTCATCAACTTGGGTTTAGCCATTATTTTCTAGTTTTCATATATTTCCAATAATGTGGTTTATTATGGAAAATGGCTTTGGTGAAAAACAAAACAAAACAAAACAAAATTTCACTAAAATAAAAACAAACAGTGCTGCTCACAACCTGCTAAATCTTCCATGCTTCAAACAAAATGACTAGGGAAAACTGCCTTCCAGAAAATTCATCCCACCCTTCTGGGAAGGGCTAGAGCTTCCAGGTGTTGTTACTCTAAGTGATGTAGAGATATAATTTCTTCCATCTATTACGAAGCACCCAGCAAGGTACTTTTAAGATTTCATTGTCCCTTCACTTTCTTATTTCAGTTAGAAAAGGATGTAAATCCTGACTGATTTGAATCTCTATTGGAAATGTCTTTTACCTATGAACGATTTCAAATAATGTCAATCTTTTCTATATGGCTGCTCATTTCATAATCTCCCTTCTTGCTATGTGCCTAGCTTTCTTTCTTCATTAACATCATGTCCTTTAAAGCTCAGTTACACATTTCCATTCTTTCATGTGTGGTTGCTTTGAAACATCTCAAAGATTCTCTTCACTCTTGCCTATGTTTGCTGGATAAGCGCCACAGAGGACAACGGGAGTTGACTTCCTAAACTACTTTTAACTATATGATTTTAACTTTGAGTACATACTATTAAGAAAAAAAGAATTAAAAGACTTGCTCCTACATACTACATAAATGAGAAAAAAATCTGAAATTCAAACATAGCAAGCTCCATTTGCTCAGCAATGAGGTACTTGCACAGAGTTCCCCATGGCCTATTGGTGTACAAACATAATAATGTACACTACCTCTATGAAAATATTTTGAAATAGAAGTTTGTTTTCCTTTGCAAAACGATTGCATTTAAAAAGTCGTTTGTGTTGTAAACACTGAAGGATGAGCCAGTTGGAGAATCACATTATTGTATCACAGTAACAGAACGTGATTCACATTTATTTCTTTAGTTAACGGATTCAAGTTCTCCTACATTCTCAACTCTGAGTTACTACACTCTTGATCTTGATAAAAGTTGTTAGGAAAATCCAAATCTTCAGTTTTGGCACTTGGGTGCCAAGAAATGATGTGCTATCATGAATTCACATGTAATCAGCTGCTTTTGATTTTTGGGTAACAAGGTAGTTTAAAACTTACTGTCCTGCTAGCACCATCTAAAGATTTTAGAAGCAGAGCTAGAGGAATTCTTAATGAGGTATACTTTGTGGTGGTTCTTTGGCTTCTTGCCCCAGAACTAACCTTGACATTGAGGATGGATATGTATTAATTATGCTTTTCACCAGGTAGCAGTTACCATAGGTGACTAAACATCACCTATCTATGGCGTCTATACCATTTTTGAGTGATGGGCCTAGCATGACTTTCACTATTCTAACTTTACAGATGTAGATATTTTTTTTCAAAATCTTCATTTCATTATAGAAAACACTAAATCTGGGTTTGAGTAATCTTAGTTACTGATTTTACAGCATTTGAAACATGAAATTGTAAGTATTCATCATTGAAGTCTTTTGTTTTATGTTTTATCACTTTTTGTTGTTTAGTAAGTGGAAAATTTTAAGCACTTGAATTTAGGTTTGGGTAAATATTTAGTGCTGTGTGAATGTCATATTATTGGCCAGGTAATGATTTTGAAAAAAAAAGTTAATTTTGGGCACAGAATTTGACGCCTACTTAAAGTATTAAAAAGAGAAAACTCTTTCTACAGTACATATGTATTGAAGTTCAGTTCTGTATTCAGCCTTACAAGTATATAATTTAGTGATTTGTAAAAATAGCTATTGCACGTCTTTGAGGATTCCGAGGAAAATCAAGCATATAAACCCTCCCTTTATTCTTCTCATAGGGAGAAAACCAGTTGAACAAGGAGTAAAAAAGAATACAACTAGCCTTTGACTATGATCTTACTTGGGAGGAGATGGAGGATGTGTCCTCATTTATCACTTCAAAGTACTCTGGGCATGCAGGTTGTTCAACCATAGTCTAGACTATCACATAGTCATTACAATCTTTGTTTCTTTGAAAAAAATCATGGATAAATTTAACTTTTTTCTCCTCTGGAGAAGTTTTATTCATGGCCAATTCTTTTGTTGGTAATCTAACTCATAATAAGATTCTTTACTTAGTATTGTAAGTCTGAATACAGATACTGTCCAGACTGACCTAAGAATAATGTTTGAATTCACAGTAACAAAAGTTACAAAGTTTGTGCAAAAGACATTGTACATCATTGGAGTACATAGAGCTTGCTATTGTTAATTTTATATATAAAGCTGCATTTCTCATTAAAACTACTCTGTGCTACATAAAAAGTTAAGTTTCTGATTTAATTTTTTCTCTAGCAATAAAAGAATGCTCATTTAATCTCAGAAATGTGAAGATGCAATTGAATATGTATCATAAATGTAGATGTAACAAATCACTGGAACCTTTTAAAAACCATAATTGCTTTGGAGGTCTTGAAGTTTCCCAAGAGTCATGAAGTACACTCGGCTGTGGTGGTTGCGCAGGGTAGAGGTAAAAAACACCTTTAAAAAGAAAAAGACACCATCAGTAGATCGTACATTGCAACCAGATATATAATAAAGTGTTGAGTTACTACTATATAGCTATAATGTCAACTAATCTTCATCTCCTAATTAAAATGCTATTTTTTCCTCAGAGAATGATGGTTTAAATTAGTTTGCAGTATAAATTATATACTTACAAATAAGGTCTTATTGTGCTCTATACAGTTGCAATTCACTTAATTTAAGTAAAATTATTTTCTGTAGGTGGCATTCAACTACTGAATTTCTCAATTAGATTAGACTAACAATTCCTTGCTTAAAAACCTACTTTTACTCTAATTGGCTTTTCTTTTCATATAAAATTATTTGGATGTTGTTTACTGTTGCAGCTGGTGTCTGAGTAGCTACTACAAATTTTGCCTTGGCACAATTTTCTATTTAAATGAAATTGACTGACCTAAATATATTGTTAAAAGGAGGCAAACCCAAAGGATTACAAGGACATATTGTTCAATGTGAGTAGTTCCATGAAGAATATTAGATGAGAACACAGACATAAATATCTAATAAATGCCCCCTTGTTAGGAATAAGCTTATTTATATTCACAATGGCTTTAATTAGGAAAGTCTGAGAAATAATATTGATGAAGATAAGATAGCCTCAATTTAACATAGTTTATGTAGCAAACTGTAAGGTAATTTACTATATACTTATTATACAAAATTTCATGCTCGAACCTAAAATGCTTTATACTAGTCTTGGAGATGAAAGAATTCAGTAAGGCTCAGAAAGACCAATCACATTTCTCCAGTTCTTGTACCTAGTTAGGTTGCAGACTCTGGACTGTTTCCTAGATCTATCTGACCTCCAACAGTCATTCCTGCCATCACGTTATACTGAAAATTGGCCCTCTCTGATGATGTGCAGTGCTTAATCCTGTTTGTTCTGGCATTAGTGTGAGTCTTGTGTAGTAATTTCTAATGTTTTTTTATTCCTAATATTGGTATTTATCACAATTTTATTTTTCATACCATCTCAGAATGGTGATGATTTTATGTAACAACCTTGTTCATCTTATGATTTGAAATGCTTGTTGAATCTGATTAAATTACACAAGTCATTGCCAAAACTCAATTATATTTTTCTTTCCAACAATAAAAATCATAATACATACCTGTTAAGGTAAACTGAGATAACTTTTAAACTACCAAGCACAAACTCTACCATATATTTAGATTCTTGGTAAACATATTTTCCTTCTGGAAATGCATTTCTATTCCTATAATACATTGAAAGCTATAGAGACTGATTTGCAAACAAACCCCCAAAAAACTGTTGCCAAAGATATTGTGACAAAGAAACCTTCACAAATTACTGGCATCATTAAAGAGAATAGTGTGGAGGTTCATCAAAAACAGAAAGAACAGTGCTGGAGGTTTCTCCAGTTTTCAACTCTACTACAAAGCCATAGTAATCAAAACAGCTTGGTACTGGCACAAGAACAGACCTGAGGACCAATGGAATAGAATTGAAAACCAGAAATGAACCTGCAGACCTACAGCCATCTAATCTTCGATAAGGGAGCTAAAAAAATAGAATGGAAGAAAGACAGTCTCTTCAGTAAATGGTGCTGGAAAAATTGGTTAACTACTTGTAGAAAACTAAAACTATATCCTTATGTATCACCCTGCACCAGAATCAACTCCAAAGACCTCAGAGTCAAAGCAGACACTCTGAAAACATTACAGGATGGAATAGGAGAACTAGGTCTTGTTGGCACAGGCCAAAATTTTCTTAATAGAGACCCAGAAACACAACAAATCAAAGAAAGGTTGGACAAATGGGATTGCATGAAATTACAGAGTTTCTGCATGGCAAAGGACATAGCTAGCAAGATCAATAGAAAGCCCATGGACTGGGAGAACATATTCACTAGCCATACATCGGACAAGGGTCTCCTATCTAAAATATACCTGGAACTCAAAAAATTAAATCCCCCAACAACAAATCTTCAAAGAAACAACTGCCCAATAAATA